TACAAGACATTCCAATTAAACCAAGTTTCAATTCAGCAATACAAATAATTTCATCACCATCTTTTGCACTCCAACCTGGTATTGATGCAACATTCATCTAGAAAGTTTTTTTTTATTAAAAAAAATTGTATATACATTCATTTTTAATATATTTTACTTTATTTTTATAATGAAGAAGTTGTAATAAAACTCGAATACGTTGATTAAAATTTTTTAAACTAATTACTCGCATTATATTTGCAGAATCATCACCATCGGGATCAGGACATTCTTTATCAGCAATTATTAAACATGCTGTTGCTTTATCAACCTTATTATTAAGAAAGCAAAAAAAAAATATTAATCTTTGATTGTCATATTTTTATCGATTAAGTATTTACTTGAATACGATGTAAATCAACAACATTCATTACAGTACCAACAAAATATTTCACTTTAGTATAATATCGTTTTAATAATGCTTCCATTTCGATTCCTGGAACTTTCCTTTAATTAAGACAAAAGGAAAGAAAATAAATGTATTTTAACTTTGTTTTCTATTCAAATGGATGATGATATACTTGTTAATTATAATAATATCAAGTTCTTCAGCTTGATCACGATCTTTATGTAAAAAGTCACGAAGAAATGTTGTCATTGAATGAGGTGTTATATGTCCACAAATGACTACATGACTAAAAATGAATATTTTAATAACATTTTAAGAAAGATTTTTTCGATAGTTTTCAATAACTAACTATATTCACGTTCTAAATCGTTATTTTAGATCGATTTTTTTGTTAGCTGACAAAGCGCATCAGTACAGAAATAGGTTTTTACTTTTAACTTTTCACATGTCTAATACTTAAACTGGAGATAGTTCCCAAACTGATAAGCTGCTTTTGAGTTGAGACTATGTACATTATGTAGAACCAAATGAACTATAAATACTCTGATGACAGTTCAGGCCTTTAGCTGATCGTTGCTGAAATATTGCGCTTTTAGACTAGTTTTCAAATAAGTAAATGCTTTTATCCCCCTGAATAATGCCAGAAAAACTAATTTTTGAATTTCGATTTGAATCATTACATAGAGACACGTCGTAACGAGAATAGTTTCTTGTGCATGTTTCAGATCTTGTTGTGGTTTCCCGCGGAAGATATAGTCATGGTTATAGTATGTTATTGATATCAGTCATATATAACGGTAGATTCGATGTTGTTTTATTCAGAAAAATCAAAAACTCTAAAACTATGCCTATTGAGGTCTGTCTTTGTACGAAGTGTTAAGTTGAACTTAGAAAATAAGTTTTTCTGGTTTTTCTGAGAAGAAAGATATAGGATTCATTTAAAAAAAATCGTAAATTTGCAAAACCTGAACAACAATAAACTAAAGGTACGAATTCATATAGTTCTAACTCGAAAACAATTAATCAGTTGAAAGACTTTCCTTGTTAGTCATATGATCTGGTATAACTGTTGTGTCAAATAAATCCAGTGGGACTATCTATGAAACAACTTTAATACACTAACTCAAAATCAAACATACATTATTAAATAGTCAATCCTCAGATTAATTCAATACAAAAGACAATATCTCTAAATGAAATTCAGTGTAATGTTTTCAAAAGAAAATTATAAATGTTTAACTGCATGATAGTGAACTGAATATCTTTTCTTATCAAGTTAAATCAAGAGTAAATACATAAGTAAGACAATGTAGAATATATTATTAAGTCGTGAGTAGTTAATGCAAATGATTTCTTATTTTAAATTCGGATGTATTCTAATGGTTTATATACAGATCTTCGGTCTGTCATGGTTTTTTTCTTTTGTGTCATGAGTGGTAATAAAATTATCTAGACGTGATTTATTGATTGATTTCATTTAACATTTAATGAAATTGATGATTTTGATTGATCATTCATCATTAACTATATTAATAAGAATGAATAATTTTCTGACAAATTTTGAAGTAATGTCAGTTAATGGAAACATTCAAAAGTTTTTGTTTGCTTTTCAATTAACTGTCTTGAATGTTCAACCATGAGTTCTTTATCTGTTTTATCGATCATGGATTGTGTTCTTTCCTTACATAGTAGTGTGAAAGAAAAAGACTACATAAAATGGTTTTCCATTTTGGCTTTTTCATTTCATCAAAATGTTCCTTTGAATATCTTTCCTTTTGACTCGGTACGTTTTTCAACGATACATAAAACTCTTTAACTATTAATGTGTTTGATAAAACTAAATAGCTGCATGATCTTTAAAATCCAATCGTGTTCATTCATATGCTTCATTGTTCTATTCTTATATATTTACTCTGCAAGGAGATTCCTTGTTATATGATAATTAAACAATATTGAATTTATTTTTTTGATTAATCAACCAGAAAACGAATGAAAACATCAAATAGTTGCTATGAACTATGTTTTAGAACATAAATAATCATTCTTACCGTCTGCCTTTTACCATTCGATAACGACCAGAATATTCATTATGTGATCCAAATAAATTTGAAAATTCTGGAATCATTGTTGCAAAAAATGCCTATTATCAAAATTAAAAATTAAAACGAAATGATTCTTAAAATATTTTACCAAACCACCAATCAAAAATAAAAGCATAAAAAATTTTCCAATATATGTTTTACAAAAAACATCTCCATAACCAACCTATAATAATAATTATTTTAATGAATAAAAGACAAAAACTTTATATTCATTCTCTACTGTGGTCATTGTCACAATCATAAAATAAATTGCATTAAATATATCTAATTCTTGAGCATTTTCAAAATTACAAAAAAAATCTCCAGAGTTTTCAGCTAAATGAACTGCACCAGCAGCAGCAACCCATACAGCAATAAATCGTGAAGCTAATTGTACAATACGTATTGCACGTGGTCGTTCAATTAAACCCATATATTGAAGAATATCTGGAATATTCATTATACGTATTGCTCGAAGAAATCGAAAGCCTATTATTCATCAAATAAATTAAGATTAAAAAACTGAACTAAAACAACATTTCGTTCGAATTTTACCTATCCAATTTCGATTAAGATATAGAGCAACAAATGATGGTGGAATAGTAAACATATCAACAATTGAATATAAACTAAACCAAAAACGTCGTTTATGTTGGGAAGCAGTAAACTAAATGTATATAGTTTCTTTTTGACATTGAATACTAAGAAAAATAAAACAAACTCGAAGAAAAAAATAAACTAGAAAAAGGATGTTAAGACCAAGATCAGCTTGCATTGTGAAAGATTTGTTAAATTCAGTACATGATTCGATAAATCTAAATAGGAACAGATTTATTAGAATTCCTTTTTTTTTGTCTTTTTCGTAATTTATTTTAGTACATTTGATAGAACTAAAACAAAAACTACTGATTCTAGACAAGAATCGATGTTCTAATTCGTTCAACATAATTATATCAAAAATCATTTAGCAATAAATTATGTATGAAATCAAATAATCGCAATCATTTATATGATTTTCTTCATTAATATTTCAATCACTTTCTACACGACTCATCAATTAATTTTTCGTTTTGAATTTCACATAACTAATTAAGACAAAATTTCAATAGACCAACATTTCTGTTTATTTCAATCAGTTGATATTATTAATGCGAGTTGCCTTTAATGCTATTTTAGTATATATGACAGTAAAATGTGTCATTTCCAAAAGACAGAACGCTAACTGTTGCCTCCAGCCTTATATCAATAACGTCGTTCTAGGCCCTAAAGAAAGATTTCCTTGATTAGTCCTCGTCTAGCAGATGTTTCATCCATTAGTTCACGATGAAAAGTCTCATGATAGCATGACACCGTAAAACTATTTTACATTTCAAACAAATATTTTCGATCAATGCAATAAGCAACCAGTAAAATTCAATAAAAAATGCGCATTTATTGCATTAAATAATAATGGAAAATTATTCTGCAATAAAATATGCAAATCTCATGAGAAATTGACTTTTCTTATTAGTTTTATCTAATTTATTATTATTTATGTTAAAATCCATTTGTTTTTCTTTCATAATGACTTACATATTTTTCGTATCGACAAAATAAAGTACTAATGAAGCAATACTACAAATAAAAATGATACCAACCTATTTAAATCAACAAAATGAAACAAAGTAGACTTTTAATTTAAACTAGAAAACAGAAAAGATAAAAATTTACAAACCAAAGTTTTTCCCATTTTTGTTTGACCAGATATTAAATTATTTTCCCATTCTTTAATTGCTTGTAACCAACTAAAATAATCATCATTTGATTCATTATTCAATCGATCAGTTGATGTCCATAATAAACTTGTTCGTCTCGTTGAAAACTATTTTAAAAAATTAAATTCAATATTTCTTTCAGATAAAAACAAATAAATTTGCTTTTTTTTTCTTTTTGTATAAAATTACTTCTTCTGTATGACTTAAATATTTGATTCTTGAAATAAGTTTTAATCGACGTTGTTTTATTAATAATGCTTTTATAAAATCATATGTAAGAATTATAATCCATCCACCAAATAGAGTGAACAATGATGAAAATAGAAACGTGGTCCACATGCGTTGGCCATGGCATAATGGATCAAGACTTCTAGCAACAAACTCACTTGGAGTCGTTGGGCAGTTACCCATTCTCTTATCAAATAATAAAACAACTAATACGATAATAAGATCTGGAAAGATAGAAAGTAATATTTTAATTTTCTTTTTTTTATTGGTTTATCGGATCAATCAATCAAATTTTATCTTTAGATCTCTTCAATGATGTAAACAAAATAGTTGACATCTATAAGAAATATATAAATCTTAATGAACTCCATATAAAATTAATATTTTTCAATATAATTTTATAAAAATTGATAATAATTCAATAAATAAATCAATATTTTTCTGTTGTTTTATTCTCCTCTCCATGTATGCTTTAATAAATCTTATAAAGGAAACAACTATTCGACGTATGTTCTTCGTAATTTGAAATATCAAACATCTGTTTTATTTATGCCAAATAAAATACGTTTTTGTATACTTTGTAAACGTTATGATCGTAAAAATCGATCAAGTTATACACGTATATGTACCATTGAACGTGAAAAAAAAATACTTGAAGGTTATCGACGTCGATATAATGAACAAGAATTAAATCAACCTATTTTAAATCAACTTGTTCATCAAAAATGTTATAATAAACTAGTTCGATGTATACCATCAATTGATTCAAATGATAATTTAACACCTATTGAACAAAAACAAGATGATAATGATGAAGAACAAGATCAGGTTAGAAACATTATAAATGATAGTTAGTAGAAAAATTGTATCTTCTAACTTTCGACAGGAAGTTACATTAGGCAAGCAAAATATGTTGTTATCTTTTATATGACAACAAGACCTTGACTTGACAAATGTCATACACACTATTAGTGACACTGCCTATCATAGTTAGTTAAGCATACAAACATGTGTTGAAAAGTAATTAGAAAAAAAACGAACTATCGTCAGTGTTCAATGATAGCAAAGTTATTCGGATAAATTTACGTATAAACACACTAATAATTATCATTCAAGATAACAAAACAAACGATTTTACACAAATCTTTTGTTGAAAGTTTTCAATAAGATAGTCTTAATCTTTGTTATATCATAATGTGATAATTTTTATGGAATCTCAACAGATAATCTTTCAATATCTACTGTCAAGTAAAAATAGTTTTTGCTATCTATTGTTTGTATTACACAACAAACAACTTCCTTACATTAGATAAAATTCCATAAGAAGTTAATAACAGAAATGAAAACCACTAATACATTTTAACAAAAAAAAAACAATGATAACAAGAATATATCAATGAAATATCTTATTCATGAACTCATATTTATTCTAAGAACAATCGTTTAATTCAGTATTCATAATGCACTGTATAATCAGACTATTCATTACGTTAAATTAAAATTAGACATGACTTGGGATCAGTCGTTTTTAGTACTGAGACCAAGAAATCATCTTGTAATGTCCTGCAAAAACGACTTTTCTCATTTCTCGTTTCTATAATGCTTTCCGGTTTCATTTTTTCTGTGTGAGATAAATTATCATAATTAGACAATAGCTTCTATCAATGACGCACTTTGCATAACATGAGATGATTTTAAGTCAGAAATAAAATTATCATTAATAGTACTTTTCAGTAAAATTAAATCAAATATAAATTAAGAAAATTATTTCCTTCATCAATCGAACAATTGACAAGAGAAAAAAGAAACCAAAACATTCAAGAAGACAAGACATTAATAATTCTATGTTGTTAAAGAATCTGAATAACAGATCTTTCACAGAGTAAAAGTTTATTTTTTTTTAAAATAAGGAATAGACAACATAACCATCTTCCCTATATCTACTTACGATAGCTCAAAGACATCAGGATCATCTGTTCTGAAAACGTCAAAAAAATTCTTTTATTGGAATATGAAAAATTTTTATGGAATGTATTGAAAAGAAATTTTCTTATTTGAATTTTTCGATAAATTTAGACATCATTAATTCAATTTCGTTCACGTATGCCATTACCATCAAATATTAATAAACATTTATTTGAACGTCGTCAACGTGTTTGTGCTGTATGTAATCGTTATGGCTATAGATCACATAATAAAATGAAACAAATTGTATCAAATTTTATGGCAAATAAATTAGCTGAAGGTTTTTCTCATATATATAAACGACCTTATGGTAAATCATTACTTGATGCTTATATACATGAAACATGTTTTCGAAAACTTTATTCAAGTTATCGATATCATGCATCAAAAAAAATTGTGAATAGAAATTCTTTACAAAATCAAGAACATTTTGTTCGTCAATTAGTATATTCTCCACATGAAACACGAAGTCGTACAAGTCTTAATAAATCATCATTAGAAACAGAATCAAAAGATCACACGTCAAAAATAACAACTGATGAAACTGCTAATTTGTCAATAGAACGATTATTTTCTACACCACTTTATACATCTGTTTCAACAACAAATCCAAATATTGAACTTAGTGCACGATCTTGTCTTTTTCGACCATGTATACAACGAGTTAGTTTGTTCGATAGATATTAATCTTAATTATTAATTTTATAATTATTGTATTTTAGCTTACGACAGAAGAAATTGAATTTTATACAAAACGAAATAGAACATCAGGAATTATCAATGAAGATAGTACTTTAACAAAAAGTTAATATTCTGTTGAAAATTTCAAAAATTATCATTTTCTTAACTTATTTTTTCTAGATCCATTACCAATTGTTAGATCATCCATTACACTAAGTATGTTTCTTTTTCTGGTTTACCCTTAAATCAGTCTCATTGGATAATTTCTCTATTCGATCCTAATATTATCTATTACTTAGGTTCTTTAAATAACTAATTATGAAGATAAATGAAGGTTTATCATCTCATTTCATTTTGTTGATTCATGACTAGAGACATGCGTGAACAAGTTCGTTTGATCTTGATCTAGAGAAAATTACTTAAGAATCTATTTGTATCATATCTAAAATATTCTTCAATAATCATCTTTTGATTTATTCAGTCAACGGCTAGTACTTTCTTGGCTAACTTCTTTTGAACTATGTTCTGATAGGTGGTTTATAAGATAATTCGCTCAAAACTATAGAATATTTAACTATGATCTTTAGTTCCGTTTTGAACAAACTTTTTTCTCGTAGTTTCAATCCCGAATACCGAGATTGGAACAGCAACTGAAATAGGTTTTGCTCATGTCTAACTATGACCGAACTGAAAAGGGACTGAATCGAGTACTACCTATGGTTTTTTCTTATTTACATATATACCAATCAGTTAATTGTCTTTTGTTTTACACAACATCGACAGCAAATGATCCAGTAATTTATTCAAATCAAGACGATAATGGCAATGATCTCAAAACAAATGAACAAGATCAATCACCAGATTGGTTACCAACACATCCATCGTCATCATCTCCTGTAATGTTCAATAACAAACAAAAAGTACATTTCAATATAATTTTATATTATACGATTAACGATTTTTTTCTTCTCCATGGTATTATTAATAGATTTGTACAGCAGCTAAAATTCGTCGCCGATATTTAAAACCACCACCATTAGCAAAACCAACAAATCCTCTTATATCTGATCATACTTATATCAATAATAATATTTATTTACAAAAAATTCCAGCTGATTTAGAAAAATTATATCAATGGCTTATAGAAGACTTAAGATCATCAGGAAATCCAATATCCATGGGTGAAGTATTAATAAAATATAAAGAATTAATTGAAGAAACAAATACAAATACAACACGTGAAAATATTTATCGTGAACGATTAAGACATCAATTGGAAAAATTTTATTCAAATCAATTTATATTTGTAACACCAAATAAACGTGAAGGAACATTTATTGCTCTTAATGATATTGATCATTATGTTCGACTTGCTATTAAAAATGCTAAACAAGAAAAAGATAAAGCTACAGAAGTAAAAATTTTTAATCGAAAACCTTAAAAATTCCGTATTTATTTAATTTTTTAGGCTTCAATTCTATCGTCTATTATTGTTCCACCAGCACCAATTGATCATAAACGTCAAACATGTGAAGCTATTATGAATGGTATTCGTAAAATTCGTTTATATATTCGTGATCCAAAACAACTTAATACATTACCATCATTATTAATTCGTAATATTATCGGTTTAATAACAACAAGTGAAAAACAATTTCATAAAATTTCACAACAATATGATTTTTATCGTATGATTGATGAAGATTTATTTGATAATACTACTAATAATAATAACAGTGGTAATAGTAAAATATTAAATAAATTTGATAAAAATCTACGAAATATGAGTTTAGCATCAGATTTAATTAGTGCACGACATGATAATCGAATATCAGAAAAACATTTTCTATTAGCTGATGAATTTACAAAAAAAGATTTTAATTGTACACCAAAACAAATAATAACATTATTAAATCGTTATGGTCATACATGTTCATATAAAAGTTATATGAAAATGAAAGCATTAAAACAACGTACAACAAATGAATTAGGACAAGAAATTATTGAAGAAATTGAAAATATAATAAGAAATGATGACAAATCATCCGATTCAGAAATGGATTTGATGGAATTTTAATATATTTATTTTAAGTAAATCGTTGTTTCTTTTTCTTGTTGTTTTTCAAATGTAAATAGATGTAAAATAGAATATATTGTATTCGTTTGAAAGTAAATTTCTGTTCATATTGATATGTTGTGAACAAATTCATTCAAAAAATAGTAAATAATCTTGAACATCATATGGACACCGATTAAAATCTTGCAGTCATTCTGATATATCATGCTACTCTGAGTTAAGATCTCACGAGGAAAAGTACTCAAGTGAGGCTCGCCGTTTTGGTTAATATTTTGTGTGCGTGATCTTATTCTAAAAAAATTCCTCCATAGATTTGAGCTGATACGACTTTTTTCAATAGATATCAAAATATTCATTCTTTCTATCATCATGAGAGAAATCGAGTCAATTAATCTCGAATAACATGATAAGAAAACCAATATGTCACTCTATATCATGAGCAAAAGTAGATATAAATGAGACTAAAAAATCATAAAAGAATATCTATTGATGGCCTACTCGACAAAAATTATAATATCATTACTGAATTTTGGATGTATAATGAGGCTTTATTCAAAAAAAAAATTGAATTAAAGAATTTCGATCCGAAATTTTGTCAGTAGATAGATCTGATGGTTCACCTATATAGAATAGACCCCCTCAATATTTTACAAATTTCTCAACAGCCTTTCAGCATAATAGGACAAGTGGTTTTTCATGGATTCCTCGTTCGATTTCCTACAAATCTACATCTAATGAAACGAATTCATTTTCTCTTAATCACACAATATTTCAATCAATTATGGATTGAAAAATAGTTCTAATGAAGTCTTCAGAAGTATTGAAAAATTAATTATTGTTGTCTATCAACAAGATATATATTGACACGACTCTGTTGAAACTCTTTATATATATATATCATTACCTTCGGTGTTTTTGTGCTTTTGATTCCATCGAAGAGGATGTTGCTTATTTTAGAGCGGATTACCATATGCTTAAAGTTTCAAAAGAGTTGCGTTAATTTCTATCTTATTGTTTAACAATAACAGTTAAGTTTTCGATCTTTCTGAAGATCTTATTAGAACTAGTTTTGAACTGATAAGTGATTGAAGTATTGTATGATTAAGAGAAACGCTAGCAAATTAACTCATAAAGTTCAATACAAAAAGCTATCGTTTAAATGAAAGATGCAAATGCGTAGACAATCTAATGAGGGATCTATCAAAAAACAAACGTTTCGTTATGTTGAAAGGCTGCTGACAAATATGCAAGATACTAAGAGGGTCCGTCGCTAATTTTTCTTAAAATATTCTGAAAGCTTTAATTAAAATAAATGACTTTTCCGCATTACAATGATTCTTTCAAGAGTCATACGAGTTTTATTGAAATAATTTCTCTCTGAATATGGGAGTGAAAATATTCATTTTTATCAAAAGAAGTCACATCAGTCCAAATTCTTTTAGGTTTTTTTTTTAGAATAAGGTCCTCTACATGTACACATGATATCAGAGAAAATGGCATAGATTAATTAAACACATTCTCGTGTCGATAAAAGAATCTATTATCGTCCAAGATCACACATTTTTTTTTATACGTGATTGCATTTTATTATGGTATTTTTATACTATTTTACTGTTCTCTAGTGTGTTGTAGCCGACTAATCGTTTATGCACCGTTCTGTACATAATGAAAATTATTACTGAAGCCATAAAATTTGCATTGTTTATCGATTAAGTTTAATCGATGAAATGGAATTGTTGAGAAGCTCATGAATAAAAAATTTCAATAAACAAAAATAGTGTTTCTTTTTATATTTGATTGATCCGACAATATTATTTATTTGTGAAGAGCATACTACTATTTATTAAGTAGTACTTTAAAAAATGCAGTTCTCTAATTTGAATATCTCTTATTTTGTTAAAATCATGTATTATTATAAATATTTTCTTGTATGAAAAAAAAATAAATTAATTCAAGCAATATGAGCTTTTTGAAAAGCTTGTTTTGTTTAAAAAATAAATTCAACTTTTTTTCGTCAGAAACATTTATCGAAATGAACAATCTAGTTAGTAGAGTAACCAGAAGATCGAAAGGGGTAAGGCAGTGTCACACGTTACAATATCAATCATGGTAATTATTATGTTTTTCTTTCTTCTGATTGTGGAGTAGCACACGACCTAGTTCAGCCTTGGCTATACCACTAAATCTAGTGGTGTAAATAAGGTAAGTGAATTAGAGAAAGCTACGCTACATAAATACTACTGCAAGGTTCTTACTGAAGAGTCAAGTTATGTTAAATCACTTCACTACCAACATTCTAATAACATCACTAGAACAAACAAACGTAAAATGACATAATATTTCTGTTTCTGTCTAGTCGCTATTAAAAATTCTTTAATATTCATCATAAAAAAAAAAAATTAAAGACAGGTAACGAGCGCCATCTGACATGTCAAGGATATATATTCTGAACGGCTTCTGTAAGAATCGAATCCGATCTAATTTTTTTTCACGCAAATATCTATCTATCTATATATATATAGATATATAATCACCTGATAATTATTCGTTGATAGTTTATGGTTTCACAAAACTACTTGTGTTTCTACATAAATGCAACGAACTACAGCATCCAGACGACCTACAATGATAAAAATTGATGATATTATTGCTCTTCTTCGTATTGGTACACAAAGACAATATAATGCTCGAGAACTTCATACGATGGTTTGTTTAAGGCTTTTTTTTGTTTTTGAAAATAACTTTTAATCTTTTATTTTTGAAGAATGCAACTATTGAATTACATGTAACTAGTCTATTTGGACAAGATTTTGATTATCAGGTTTTTTTACAACCTTTTTTATTCGTATCGTATAATTGTATTTTATTATATAGTTAATACCTAATACCAACGGTGAATTATCATTATATTATCCACGACGTATTCTTTTACCTACAATAGATAAATGGTCGAATATATCAACATCAAAAATTCAAGCGACAATCGATGTTCGTGATTTATTTGTTCGATCTCGTATAGCTCGATGTCGTTCACGTTTTGTTGTTCCTGTTATATTACTCGATGGAAAAGTATGTTTCCTTTGTTTTTGAAAAAAGAATTGTTTTATTTTAATTCTAAATAATTTTTTTTTCGTTGAAGTATATTTGTCGATCGTCAACGGTTGCTTCTTGGGGTGAAGTTTATTCTCGGTCCGGTGTTGACCGTTTATTAGAGACAGGCAATCGAACAACAAATCCATCAATAATTGATTCCACAACAAATCCAACTGCTGTAACAAATGATCTTGATGGACCACCGACTATTGCAATTGTTGGTGCTGCTGCTGCTGCTGCTGCTGCTGCGTCTGCATCATCATCTAATGTAGAAGTCCCTCAACAAAATATATTTGATAAACTTCGTGGCGCCGATATTGATTTATTGAAAATACTTGATGTTAGTTCTATAGTTAATTTAATGGTTGAAAAAAGAAAAACAATGTTTGGTGTTAGGTAAGAATTAGATAATTTTTGAATAAGAAAAAAGAAACATTTTAAAATTTTTTCTTAAGTGTAACATCATCAGAAAATTCAGATAAAGAAAATCGTTATCGAGATTTTCAATTATTAATTCTTCCTTATCCAGGTAACGAAAAAAAAATTCTATATCAAATTGTTTATTTATTTCTAATGTTAGGATGTGAACATTTTCGAGATTTTTCAATACAAAAATATAATGGTGAATTAATGTTTTATGATTGGTCATTACCAATTAATGATTCATCATTTCAAGTACCAGAATATCTTTCATCTCGCGTACAAACAGATTGGTCATTTTGGAAGGTAACTTATCGTAATTTTTTTTGTTAATCTTGAATTTATTGATATAGTCATGGAATTCAATAGATCTTACAAAAAATTATTTTCAATTAATTCTTCGCCATCTCGAAACAAGTATTTTGCTTTTTATTTAAATACAGAATATAAAATATTGTATTGATTCTTTTTTTTGTAGATGATCATGGACTTCTTATACATTGTATATCAGGTTGGGATCGTACACCATTATTTATATGTCTTTTACGTTTATCATTATGGGCTGATGGATGGATTCATCAATCATTAACTGTTGAAGAAATTCTTTATTTGACATTAGCTTATGATTGGTATTTATTCGGGTATGAATTTTTATTTGTTTAATTGAATCTGAGATATGAGGTTTTCCTTTTTACTCCAATAGACATTGTTTACCAGAAAGATTACTTCGTGGTGAAGAAGTAAGTTGTTAGATTAGAATAAATAAAATAAAGAAATTTGATTTGTTTTTACATAGATACTCTATTTTGCTTTTATGATACTTCCTCATTTGGTTTCAAATGAATTTGTTTATAAACAACCGAATAAGTATGTGTATTAGATGTTTTCTTTTTTTGCTGTATGATAAAGAAGATGGCTTCGTCTATTTATATGTCAAGTAGAATGGTCTAGTTTGTTTTTATCCTTTATAATGAATAAAGGAAGCTGTGAAAATTATCCTTAAGTAATAGAATAAGAAGATTATTTGTCGATAATGAGCCCTCGAAGCTATCAATGATGATCGAACAAAACAAGATGATCGGGATAATTTCGGGTCTTCGAGCTTGTCCGAATACATTCAATACTTAATTGAATAACAGTAAAATCGATTTGTGAAATTGATACAGTCATGTATCGATTCTTAGAAACGAGACTGTACACATACATATTCATATATTCTAATATTCTGTTCACAATAGAATTTCTAGGATATCTATTTGTTCCATACAACGATTCATTGTAGAGCTTCATATGAGAATAAGCAATAAAAAGAAGAAATGAAATCTATAAAGTCGCTAGTTTCCTAGTAAACCTGCTTGTATTTGTTATTGATTTTTTAACGGCATAATTTTATATTTTTCTTTATTAGTCGTTTAGTAAATGGATAGAGTTGAAGAAATCCATTCGATGAGATTATTATTGTTTTCTTTTTGTTTATTTAATAGTGCTTCGAATCCCCAATTAACAACTGTATCTGATATAACTGAAAGTATTTATTCTATTAGGTAAATTTTTGTAACAATAGCTGTCGATTTTTTCTTCTTTAAATTATGATTGATTATTTTAGTGCATTAAGTGATTTCGAAAATTTGAGTTCTAATTCATCATCTTTAGCTAATATACATGAAAATTCAACAATAAATTTTAATCGTAATTCCGATGACATATCATTTAATCAAAATATTGATTTCAATGCTCCTGAAACAAATGAAAACCTAGATTCAATTCCATCAACAATTCGTAAAGAAAAATTACTTGCTGTTTCTCAACTTTTCCAATTATGTTATCGAACTGTGATACCAAATCGACCACCAACAACTACTTCCAATACAAATTTATTAGCAGACAGTTTGAGTTCATTCAATCCAAGACCAATTGGTATTGTTTTCTTATTCTTTTGTTCTTTCGTTTAAAAAAGAAAATTTTCTATTTCTTTTTTTAATTAAGGACGAGAAATTGCTCGTTCAATTAATAATTTTATCGGTCAATGGCGTACTCAACCTCGTTGATAAATTAGTAATTGATTATTTTGTACAAGCACATTCTTTTTTAGTTAATCTTCTTCATTTCTTTATCTTTTAAGTTTGCTTGTTTTTTTTTCTGATTTATTTTTACTGTGATTTTTTTTTAATTGAATGAACAGACACATATTTGAAAATATGTCATTTTCGACCCGAAGATGAATTGTGTTGAACATTTTTTTTTGCTAAGTTTATTGTTATTTTTTATTCTTGTCAATCTTGATAGATGACGTTCAATTGTATTTAATTAAAAAAAATCTGAATATAATGATTAAATATATCAATATACTAAATCTGATAACTTTTTATGTTATTCGACTTAATCAACTAGATAAAATTTCAAAAAATTTTTACCTGTTGGAATTTGTAAGCACTTGAAACCATTCAATATCGTGACAAGTATCTCATAAATAAAGATTTTGTACAAGATAGTGATGATATATTCGGTGCCCATTGTCTACACCAGCTGTAAGAATGCACTAATTCCTACGTTGTAGTTTCAAAGATGCGCCTTTTGTTTTATTGAGAATTCATTATTCTGCCCAGTTTTCATAATATTTCTGCATGATATTGATTGTTCTATCTGAAGTTATCATTAGATTTCATCACGTCTAAGAAGATGACATTCAGAGTCGGTCGAAATTTATGAGTTTTAAGATAAAATCTGATTGATTTCATCTAATTCTGTAACATATTTCAACTTTTCAAAGAAATCGGATAAAATGTTCAAAGTTGATCAATGCTGGTATGAATTATTGACGAAACTTTAAGTTTTGAATATATATACTCTATTTCCAACCAATTTCTGGAGCTTCATCCCACAAGTAACGTATCTACAGTATAAATTTTAATCAATTCTGAACTTCACTGTTTTAAATTTGATGAAATATTATCATATCTTCCGATAGAGAAATCAAAACTAATGAAGGAACTATCTTAAATGATACCTACAGCTTCAGTTTATATGGAACTCGAATGTAGAGCTCAGCAAGACTAGCAAAAACCTAAAAGAGTTCGTCGCCATAGGCATTTATCGTCGAGTTATGATTGATTCACTAAGTTTTTGAATTAGAAAATCCTGAAAATTTCACCCAGAAAGAATATTCTTTGATCAAGATATTGAATTTTCAAAAATAGCCCTATGCCGCAGACATTTCACACAAAGTGAGTTTACTTAAAAATTTAATAACTCGACGAAGGAACATACTTTTGGCTGAAACTTTCAGGGTATTTTAAGAGTCATTAGACCTATCTATAGGCACAATTTTGGATCAAAGCTCCGTTATTCAGTCTTCCCAGGAGAATATCTGAAAATGAGTCGAAAATCTGGTAAATTGGTCATAGCTCGACACAAAATACCAATGTGAACAAACGTTTTCAAGTTTTGGGTAGTCTCACTGAGACCAGACTGTGGCTTCAGTATGAGCGCGAACGGCATATGTCTCTTGGAGTAATTCCCTCGTGAACAGAACTATTATTAAAAAAATTGACAGAATAATGAATTTTCAATACTAAAAAAAGCAATCGTTGAAACCACGATCTAGGAATCGTTACATCGCTAACAGAGCCAGGCACAGGACAGGACACTAAGAATCCTTGTTTTGACGTTCGATCGTCGAAGTAGATATTAGTTTACGAATTCTTTTTTATAGCTAATTTATTTCATGTCACTTTCAAATATGACAAACTTCAGTTTTCAATAATGACTATTATTATAAACTAGATTATTTATTTTAATGACATGTTCATCACAGAAAACAAATATTAAAAAAAATATGAACTTGCAAATTCTTATTGTCGTTATCTCAACATATAGTGAATACAATTGATAAAAAAACAAAACAACAATGAAAAAGTACTAAATAACAAAGATGGTACACAGAAAAAAGAAATATACAAAACAGAGGCGAGTACAAGACAATGTTTTCTATCTGTCTTGCTGCTTTAGTCTGTCTCGACAAGAAAAGATACGATTTATTCTTACCGTTCTCAATTATCAAAAATGATAACCCACATTATCATTTATAAATCTCTCAATAATATTTTATATAGATATTTTTAAGAAAAATATTTTTCTAAATTGCCTTTATAAAACGTATCAAATCAACACGCCATTATTATGAATCATTTTATAATAGTAATGAAAGAAAGAAAGAGAAATATTTTCTTCTAAACTATAACATGACTCTAAATATGAAAAGGTAAAAAAAAAAATAAAACGATTTGACACGTTCTTGCATATTTATCTGTATGTGCTTTCTTCAGTTGATTTTTATGCTTCATTGCTCGACAATAATTGCGCTCTATAATAATGTTAGTGCTTCCTTTTTAACGCATTCAAAACGATTTGCATTAATAAATAATATAATAGAACTTGAATCTTATAAAATCTTATAATATTCAATTTAATATTTTATTCATTCTATGTTAACAATTAAATAAAATGACTACGACAGTTAGTCCTTCATTAAGTCAAAATCTTGAAACATTCATTCTTATTTGGCTTGATAGTTTAGTTAATTTATCCGAAGACAATATTGATACTAAAAAATTACTTCGAAAAGCTATTACTTATGTCATACCATTTGATGATAGTGAAAAATGTATGGAATTTATTCGATCTAATTCACACGAAAGAATTGTTTTAATTGTTAGTGGTCGATTAGGACAAATGCTAGTACCACGTATTCATGAATTTTCACAATTAATTGCAATTTATGTTTATTGTTCTGACAAAAAACGAAATGAACAATGGGCTAAAAATTTCATTAAAGTAAATTTAAATTTGAAAATATAAAATTTTCGTTTTTATTTTTTGTTTTATGTAATATTTTAGGTCAAAGGTGTTATTGTTGATTTAAATGAATTAGTTATACGAATAAAATCGGATCAAATCAAACGAAATGATTATAAAATTGATGAGTCATTACCAATCAGTGTTTTTAACAAAAATTCTCAAGAAAAACCAGTTGTAGTTATAAATAATAATAATTTTATTTATTTTCAATTAATAATCGATTGTTTAAGTCGAATGAACTCAAATTTAAATGAAAAAAATGAACTTATTTTATTATGTAAGGAAGAATATAAAGACAAAAAAAAAGAATTAAGTATTATTTACGAATTTGAAGAAAATTATTCATCTGATCGCGCAATATGGTGGCTAACAAGAGACTCATTTGTTTATGAAATGTTGACTAAAGCAATTCAAGATATAAATATTGATTTATTATATCATTTTCATTTTTTTCTTAGTGATATTCGAAAACAATTAATAGAAAATAAATATTCATTACCAATACGTACCTATCGAAGTCAATTAATGTCAAGTCAAGAAATAAAACTATTAAAGTATTCTATGGGAGAATTAATTTCTATCAATACATTTCTTTTTACAACACCAAATCGTCAACGTGCAATTGAAATGTTTCAAAATTCTGATACAAAACCGGATTTCAAACGAGTTTTATTCGAAATTGATGCTGATCCTCAACTTGAAAACATGAAACCATTTAGTGATATCACTTCATTAAATTATTTTACTGGTGTAGATATTATACTTTTTATGGCCGGAACAATATTTCATCCAGTTGATATATGTCAAGAAAATGATATTATTATAATACAAATGGAAGCACACAGTGATAATGATCCAACTATTAAGACAACTATTGATAATATTAAAGGAGAAGATTATGGTGATACACCAGATCTATTTTCACTTGGTTATATACTTTCAAAGATGAAAAAATTTGATGATGCTGAAAAGTATTATAATCGATTATTACAGGAGATGCCTAATGATCATCATTCAGTGATATGCTGTTATCAAGGCTTTGGTAGGCTAGCAATGGAAAAGCGAAATTATGATTTGAGTATTGAGTGGTATCAAAAAGCACTTGATATAAAGACATCAATATTAAGACCTGAAGATCCTGAAATTGCTTCTGCACATAGCACTATAGCAGATATTTATGTGAAGAAAAATGCATTCAATGAAGCATTTCAATCATATACTCAAGCGTTGAAAATATGGAGTCGAGCATTAGGTAAAGATCATCCTAAAGTTGCAGCATGTTACAAAAATATTGCTGTTACATTTGAAATGCAAAATAAATATAATGAAGCCGTTGATTATTATGAAAAAGTTTTAACAATATATGAAAAAAATCCGCTTGATAATGAAGCTGATATAGCTAAATTACATAATCATATGGCAATTATATGTACTACTATTGATGATGTTAATCAAACATTAAAACATTACAAGTTAGCTTATAAAATCCTCTCAAAAATTTATTCTAATAACCATCCAGATGCGATAACAGCATTGAAAAATATTGGTTATACGTATGAAGCAGCTGGTCATTTCAAGGAAGCTCTAGCATATTATGAAAAAATAGCTTCAATACATCATCAACTATTACCTTCAAATCATCCTGAAGTTGTTGGAATTCAAGGAGATATTAAACGTGTACATTCACAATTGAAATAAAACAAAATATTCAATGTTCAATTGATTTATTTTGATTGTAATAATTAAGAAAAAAAAACAGTCTTTCGTACTTTTTATTTTCACTTTTGTTTTCAATACGAAGATGACAAATAATAATAATAATAATAAATTATCTTTTATTTTCGAATCGTTGAAATACGAACTATTTAATCACATGTTCATAGATCGATATCAACGACATAATAAAAAATTTATGATTTATATAGTGTTGTTCTATTTAATGTAAACATTTGTCTTTATTTTTCATTGATTAAATAATTTTCTGTTCTTTGTCTTATTTCTTTTTTTATTTTATTTCATTTCTCATGTATAACAATATTATTGCTTTACCGTAAACGAAAACATCATGCTTTTTCATTTTTGGTTTTTATTACTTTTTTATGACTTGTTATCAGACAAAATTGATGGTCTAATATCAGCACAATCATGTGCTGATATTATTCGTCCAAGTCAAACTTATATACCTGCTGATCCAACGTTAAAAATTAGTACTATATCAACATTTAGTTATCAAGAATGTGGAAAACGTTGTCGTATAACAACATTATGTCGTACAGCTGTGTGGTGTCAAGGACAATGTACAATGTATCAAGAATATATTGCATTTGGAATGCGTTTACCTAATCTTAATTGTATTCTTATTACACTATCTGGTATTGCATTCAATGAAGTAAAACATCTTGTTTTTTATTAAGATTGTTAAAGATATAATTATGTTTTTAATTTTGAAAATAATTCACATCAGTTATTTGTTAGTTTGACAGGAAGAATAATTTTTTGAATGCTATTTTTCTTCTGTTTATTTTTGTTGACGATGCTTTTCAAAGAGATTCACTGTTGATGAAAAAAAAAACAAGTATTTATGATCAAACTCAATATCATAGAGTAAAAGAAAGCTATGTTAAATGACTGTTATTCTTAAAATGAGATGGTTAAATGTCTAAAATTCGTAAGAATAAAAAAATCAGATTCTATACTCATAGATACATGAATAGAATAAAACAAAAAAAAATGATCTTTACCATTTCACTGTGAAAAACTTTTGTTTAATTTAATCTCTATATTGACATTCAGATGTAATATTTATGTGTTATTACTATTATTAGATAGAACCAATAATAACGATTGCTAACAATGTTATTTACGAAGCATCACAATCAAAATATTATGAACAAACATACTTGGTTAACTCACTCGATGAATGTATTCAATTATGTCGTCTTGATTCTCATTGTATGTATATTATAGTTATGTCAAAATAATAAATCATTTGGATTGTTCTGTCATTCTCAAATTGATCCGTTACAATATATTTAATCTAATATTCGCTTAGTCCAATATTGGATCGAGTAACATATAAAATTAAAGCAAAAGTTAACCATCGTATTCAAACTTTTATTTTGTATAAAATACTACACAAAAATCAACGAAGAGTATGGTGTAGTTGTGAATATATTTGTTCTCTTCATCATATACCCACGATCGAGAAATAAATTAGATTTTTCACCTTTCCGAAGTTTGTTTCAGTATAAGCGACGAATTAATTAAACTTGTCTCTAATTCGAGATTGACCTAGCTGAATCTTAGATTAGACATATTGTAACTGATCAATCTGAGAATGATCTGAATTTTCATTTCGGCTATAACATATATATACAAATAGGTTTAACAGCATCATATCAATCCAGCACAAACAATTGTTCTTTGTTTGCTGAACATGGATCACAAGGTCGTAATTATACCGATTTCGATTGGACGACAATTATTTTAGATACATGTGCTGGTCGAGATTCACGTATATATCCATGTTTAATTGATGCAACACAAGCTCATAGAAAATTATGTGATTTATTCACGGAAATTCAACCAATTAAACTTGATCCACAAAAAACTGTCAATGAACCTAATGGTTATACAGGTTGGTTAACAAAATTATCGGCTTATTGGCCAATGACGATTAATGGTGAAGGTGTAATATTACGTGCATCATATGATATGAAAATAGTTGATCCAGTATTAATTGGATATGAACTTGAAACAATAAATGGAAAATATTTTCATATTAATCTTGATCAACATACACAAACATCTATTGCTTACATTATTACGAAATCATCTATTGATAATAAAATTTATCGAATTCGTTTAACAGAGCAAAATATAACTACAAATGATGTTCTTAATAATTTCATATTAGAACAACATTGTCAATGGTGTTATTTTGCAACAGATGGACCTAACATTATTTTTGTAACAATTGATACTGGTAATTCAATTGAACAATATGAAAATAATGGTCAAAAAATCAATTCAATATATTTACCAGCACCATCAGGTATTATTATTCGTAATCATAATATATGGATAGTTAATAATTCACAATTAATTATACTTGATCGATATTTATTATTTGATCAAACATTTACTTATCGTATTAAAAATCAAATTGATCTTAGTTCATTCTGTAATTTACCAATAACAAATCCTTTAATTTTTTCTGATCATTCAACATTTATGCCATTTCATCTTGATGTTGATAATTATGGACGTGTATATATTACTGGTGCATTATTAGATATCTTATCTGGTAATAGTCGGTATTCACCAGGCAATAATCCACAACTTTATATACTTACTGATGGTGAACAACTAATACCAACAACAATTTGTGCTGGACCATGGGGAATGTTTGGTGTAAATGTCTATCATTCTAAACTTAAATTACGTATGCTTACATCAACGAATGGTTTTATCTTTAATTTATATTCAAGTCCTTAAATAAAAGAAAATCTGAAACGTTTTTTTTTTCATTCTAATTTAATGTAATACAAATACAAATACATGCATATGTACACAATGTATTGCTATATCATTTAAAACAGAAAACAAGAATTTTTCATATTCATTGATAATGAAAGTGTCTATGTTGTAAGCTTACAAGATTAGATGTATGTGAGTTACAACAGGACTGCTGTGCGTGTGTCTAGACTGAGATATTCGACTCTCTTGGATTGACTAATTCATTTCAATAAGACAAAAGCTGATAACTCAATATCAAAAACAGTATCAAAAGAAAACTATGGTATTCAGCAAGAAGAAAATCCAACCAATGATCTTAGTTCATATCAATCTCTTAATAAGCTTGCTGGAAAAATCATGTGTGTTCCTACACTACATGAACATCAGTTGATCGCATATTTTCTCAGTTCGTTTATTGATAAGATTATAGCACTTGTATCGTTTTATTTTATGTAGAACTGTTCTTATTTTGTTTTTGTACATAAAAACTAGTAACAAGATATGGTGTCATGAAAAAACTTGTTATTAATGTTCTTAACCCTTTATACCCTGTTGGATCATTTTTGACTCATTCATACAAAGGTTTGCAGAAAATACAGAAAGCATAGTATTGAAAACTCCCAAAACAATATGAATACGGAACTCCATAAGCTATCGATTGGTAACAAAAATATTTTGTTTCGTTGCTCTATCTTCGAGATATATGACTTTCAACATTATCGATTTTGAAAGAATTTAAGAATAACAAAATTTTAGAAAGAAAACGGTTTTTCACTCACATGCAATAGAGATTTCGAGGCCACGTTGTGTCATCTATATAGACAAAAGTGTCTACTATTTAACTAAATGCATTTCAAAAATTTCACAATGGCTTGGCAGATAAGAAATGGTAAGATACCAGGTGGATCCTGAAACGACTATTGAACAGAAAGAGAGAGATGACGGATATCATGAATATATTATTCGTAAATCTTATCAGAGTAGCAGACGAAAAAAATATATATCATCGATTAAATGTCTTCATTGATGACATAATTACTTGAAGAAAAATGTGTATTTTTAAAAAACCTCTGCCAAAAATACACGTGGTGTTTAAAAATAGCTTTTTATATTCGTAGCTTTTCTTTTTGGATTTAAATCTAATAAAAAGGAATAGAAGGCACATTTGTCTAATTAACACCGTCATAAACAAGAAAAGAAGTAGACCTTTTAAAGTTGTTCCATCCCCTTCTCTATCTCAATGGTCACTGTGGTTATCAAATTCCCCTGCACAAAAGGTAGTGCGCCTGATCGATCTGCTCGTACCATTGGTATATTGGGGAGATCAATACTCTATTTTTGTGGTAATTTTATCAGTGGCTCTTCTGGAATCGCTTCAGGGTATAAAGGGTTTTAATAAAAGCAAACAGAAAACGAAAAAATAATTTGACTCGCTCAACCCCATTGTAAGATACCATGTGTATTTATTTCAAGATCTGATACTGCAATTATATTCTCATCATGGCAAATTATGACAAATGTAATGAACTTTTTCAGATTGTGTTTAAAAATATGTACTGAATTACTCGTATTCGCTTTTTCTTCTTTACGTTGAATATCTTTGACTTTTATCTTGAGGTTGTCAATTCTTCAAAAATTAGATTTGAATGAAATATTTTTTATGAATTCATTCTAAATAGTTCAAAGCAATATTTATTAACAATACAATAGAATTTTTACTTTTAAAATAAATCTATAATAAACTATTCACAAACTTCTTTTGTTTCAATGTTCAGACTAAAGAGAGAGAGAGAAAAAAAAGAAATGAACTTTTACAATAAACAATACAACACTAAAATAAAATACTGTTATTTATTTATCCTTAATTTCCATTTAAATTGTTTGATTTTATTATCAATTTTTTCTTTTTGATTATTTTCAATATTATCCATATTTATTGTTGTTGATGATGAGGAGGAGGAAGAGGATGAAGATGATGATTGAGAACTTTTTCGATTAAAACTTCTTGATAAATCCATTGCTAATGAACAACCAGATTCAATCATACTTTCTTCTTGTTGATGATTAGATGAAATATAATGTGTATTCTTATTTAATGAAAATAATTCTTCATATGACAATGCTCGACGATGATTTTTTGTTTGGTGATTAATTAATGGAGACTGATAACGACGTAATGATGATTTTGAATAATGAAAAACAATTGTTGATAGTGACATGCTACGTTGATGATTTTGCGAAGGATTTATTTGACGATTTTTGGTATATTTTGATGTAGAAGAATTTAATATTGAAGGTAAGGTTTGAGCTACTAATTTTTGTTGATGAGCAAAATTTGTTACACTTTGACGCCAATCTAATGGAATTTTATCATGACAAAATGATGATGTACGCTCTCGTAGATTCATAGTCAAATGTTGAAGTGACGGCAGCGAAGAATCAGTTTCTAAACATTGTGAAAAGCTTTATATTAATTATGGTGAAACTCTTCAAATATTATTTTATGTTTATTTAGACCGTAATACCACCACTGGACACACTTTTTAGATATACAGGGTGTCCCATAAGTAACAAGACAAGGAAAAAAAGTTTGAATATCTCCATTAGGGCTCGACCAAATGGGCTCAATTTTTTATCAAGGATAGAGGCATCTGCACACTCCAAATCCATACGAACAAGGTGAATGAGAACCTTTGTTAAGTATCACTATTGACCTCAACAATAAAATTTTTACTTTTTCACAGACAGGAAAATAAAAAAATATACTTAACAAAGGTCCTCACTAAGCTTGTCTGTATGGATTTGAAGTATAAGCATGCCTCTATTTTTGGTAAAAAAATCAGCTCGGTTGCTCGAGCCGTAATGGAAATATTTAATTTTCTTTTCGATAAAGTGACTTTTGCACTATCCTGTATATTGGTTTTTTCTTACCAGTGACAAAGCAAAAATTTTATTGTTGAGGTCACTAGCGATACTTAACAAAGGTTCTCATTCACCTTGTTCGTATGGATTTGGAGTGTGCAGATGCCTCTATCCTTGATAAAAAATTGAGCCCATTTGGTCGAGCCCTAATGGAGATATTCAAACTTTTTTCCTTGTCTTGTTACTTATGGGACACCCTGTATACTCTACATGGGAAAACAATGAAATTTTAGACAATATTTTATGGATTAATGATTTTCGAATTTTGATCTGAAACTTGATATATATAGAGAACTCAACTAGATTAGCCTGTACGATATTTCAAAACTACCAAGTTTTTTTTTATGAAAGATCATCTAGTTGAGTCTTCTATATGCATTAAGTTTCAGTTCTAATTTGATAGCATAGTTAAATCTCAATAAGAATTCGAATTCGTTTAGAGTTTTTATAAGAACAGTATGTGGTATCTATAAGTCAGAAATTATTGAAATCAGAAAGGATTAGCTAAAGGAAACATTTTCTTTTTCTTATAGATACATTACAAACAATATTCCTGTAAATTTATCCAACCTTCAATTCCTGGATCTCAATATATGCTTATCTAAGTGAAATACTTTTCCTCTACTCACAAAGATATTGGCATTGTTGAATACTGTCGAATTCTTTTTTTACGATGTTTCGAAATTCAGTATTTAAAAACGTCATTATTATCATGTAGAAAAATTCAAAAAAAAAACAAAAATCAAAAATATTAAGCAATATCTTTATTCAATTACTAACCACTGGAAGGAGAAGTTAAATCCCAATAGTATTGAGATAATTAAATGCCATTTTTACTAATGATCATTACAGATCTACACACGTATAGAAATGTACAGAACTAAGTTTTTTGGTCGCGGTCTAGAGAGAAAACTGTTCTAGAATTTATGTGTATCACATGTAAAAAAAGTGCTTCAATACTTGTTTTTGATTTTTTATCGATGACTGGCAAATGTTTGGAATCATCTGTCTTGCATTATGTTCTGATTGATGTGATTTATAAGATAGTTTATTTAAAACCATAGAATGTTGAACTCTGATTTTTAGCGACAGTTAAAACAATTTTTTTTCGTAGCCTCAGTTCCTGAGATCGGTAACTAACTTGTTAGACTCCAGATTTTTTATCCGAAAATTCATAAACCATTCAATTAAACATTAACAAAGCAAAATATAATTTCAGTGATCTCAAATAAAGTAAGTTATTCAACAACTAGAAAAATTAACGTCAAAATATGCTAACGAATCTGGTAGCAAATAAAAGCGAATTCAAATGGACAAAATTTTGATAAGATTTTCTTTTAGATAAAAGATGATTAAGAATTATATCGCTTTTTCTAAACTATTTATAACATTATTTAGATAACGATTGAACACAATCTGAAACATTGAATTTTGTCATTTACCTTTAACGGATACATCTTCTTCACCAGTCATTTCTTGTTTACATAATTCTTCTAATTCTTCTTCTTTTTCATGTAATTGTTTCTGTAACTGTTGTAATTGTTCACATAATGCTATTTGTTTATTAATATTTTGTTGTATAACAACTAATTTCAATTGTGCTGTTGATGTTTGTGTTATACGTTGAACTAATTTTTCATGATCATCATTTTCAACTGTTTGATCATTAACAGATAAAATAACTGAACCAGAACGTAAACCTGCTTCCCATGCGGGACTTTTATCTTGTACATAATCAACATATGTAACTAATTGTATTGGTGCTATTTGTGATGATGAACTAAATGAATTTGATGTTAATGATTTACGACTTGTTGTACTTTCTGATGATGAAGATATAAGTGAACATGCTGATTCATCGGTTGATAAAGAATTTAATGAAGCAAAACCATATGTTTGAATTGAAAAGCCATAGGATGCACTAGGTGTTGGTTTTTCAATAATAATTGTACGTGGACGATAAAGATCTAATGATGATGAACGACGACGACGAAAAATTGATCCACGAATTATTGGTGTTAAAGATGAAGAAGATATTGTTAGCATTATGTATTTATAGGGACTCCTTTACTATATTTATTGTTTTCTTTTTCTCTTCATGGTACGTACCCTGACGGTGACGAAGTGTGTAATCAATATCGAAAAATGCATCAAGAGAGGGCGCCATATATCTTGACACTTTTTTAAGAACTTTTGATATTACATTTTGAACATATAAAGTGATTTAGTAATTTTGGTAATAATAGTTTTACTGGCCCTAGCCCGGTTTAGAAGATGGTCACTGATTGGTCGCTGCACATGAACGATATTGGCTGGACGTAATCATGGAAACAATGAATGATGATAAAGGCGATTGTTATTATTTTAGACTATTGATAAATCGTCTACGTCTACAAAAGAAATACAGAATTGTTTATTGCTGTCTGTTATATTATATTTTTTATCAACGTCAATGCCTGGAAGAATATTTTTATGTTGACTATGTGGAAAAAAAGGTCGACTATGCTCGTTCCAAGTACACTCAAATCTGCACAAATGAACGAGAAGAAAAAGTTCGTAAAGCATATCAAACCGCTATAATAAGGAATTAAGTGGCACACTGCTAAATGAATTAGTGGATTCAATGTGCTATAAATTACTTGTTTTTTATATGGAACCAGTCTCTGTCGTAAATAAAATAGGAAGACCAAAACGAAAAAAAAAATTTATGTCTAGAATCAAACCCTGCTAGAAGATTAATAGATATTACAAATCATCCAACAACAAATACTACGAAGTTCAATACCTTTTCTACTAAAGAAAGTAGCAAAGCATTTTTAATCGGTGAAAATGATGAAATGAGTTTCTTTATGAATGAATCTAGTTTAACGTGTAAATGTTCTATTTTTTGTTTGTAGAAAGATCCTTCTGAATTTACAGTTGAATGCAGCTCGATTGAAGTACCAACGCTGTCTTCATCGATTAGTATTGATCATCAAATTTTAATTAGTAGCATATCATTTGTACAATCCAAACAAGATGTTCTCTCTACAAATTCTACTGAAACATCAACGATCACCAATGATATAAGAAAAGCAAAATTCACATTTGACACGTTGGAACCAATTATAGTAAACTTGAAATTTCAAAAATGTATATTTGCCTTTTATTAATTTGTTCTATTTTGTTTTAGAACACTTGGGACGACGTATTTGCTGATTCACAACAAGACGATATTACAACATCAGCCGATATTGAATCAATAGAAAAATATTCAGCGAACTCAACAAAGGAAGCATTAACAGATGAAGCTGTATTTCTAGTATCATCAGTGGCTGAGTCAAATGAATAATATACACTTTTTAACATTTGGTTTTAATTTGCAAAGGGTGATGCACATGCAGCCGATCCAGACGACGACGATTTATCGTTTGAAATGGTCACCAATGATCAAAGTACAAATGAAGTTGTAATACAAAATGAAAATTTAGGAAGAAAACAAGATCAATCGAAACGAATACGAAAAAGAGTAATTTTGATTAAATCAGCATTTTATTATCTTACTTTTATTTTGTTTTAGATTTTTACTCGTTCTCTTAAAGTTCGTCGTCGGCCAAGCATCAGATAAAAATCATTGCCACTATATCCTCAACAAGGTGAATCGAATGACTCTCATTGAAATAGTTTCGAAGAATTATGTGCTTGGTTACTTTCAATACTCCATACTGGATATATTGTTTCTATACAAGACATTGCAGAATAATATGAAAATATTCTCAATCGACGACTATTGTACTTGATTATACGTTGCACTTAAAGAATGATCTTCAAATAACAACACCAAAGCGTCGGAGACTATCATCAGTATTCATGTTACTCGTTTTAGTATATTATATAACATATTATGCGTTCATTTCTTTATAGAATCTGCTGATGACCAATCTGTACTTCAATCATCAAATGCGTGTTCTACTCCGAAGCTAAATGAAATGAAGCATAATCTTACATCATTGAATTTTGTGAGTTTTTCTTATATCTTCACATATATGATCTGAATCTTTTTTCTAGAAAATGCCATCACGGACAATATCCTTAACACCTCGTCATACTGCTCATTTTCGATAACACTTTGACAAAACAAAAATTCGAAGTCAACCTAATCTTAATTAAATTATTGTATTTTTTTGTAATGTTTCTCGTTTGCTGCTTTGTCGTTTTATTTCATGGTGTTATTTGTCTTAAGTTTCATCATAAAGACAATTTTCTTCATGAACCTGAATAATTTATTCTTGTTTTTTTTTCTAAAGTCTGTATAAGCCTCTGTATAGTTGATGAACTGTATTTTTTTCTACAATGTACTTTATTTTTTTTTGTCAATCTCTTTATTTATTTATTTATTTTCTTCAGCTAGTGAAATTCTTGACTAGTTTTAAATTTGTCTATTAAATAAATTATTTCAATAGCAAAACATTTCTCTTATCTTAAAAACTGATTTATTGTCTACATTTTCAAAATAAAATTATTATTACGATTAGAAAACGTGCATACCATCTTAGAAATTCATTCACAAATCAAAGAGAAATTTTCTGAAAAATAAATATTCTTTTTATGTGGATTCAAATTTATCTAAATGACAAGAAATATTTATTACAGAAATGATGTCAAGTGAGCCAACGTTGAGATGTGTTCAACCAATCATGTAAAGACACTAGCGCCATCTGATACAACTTTTCAACGCCACTTTTTTATAGAAAACCAAGAACACCATTCGACAGAGAATAATTTTCTCTATCTATCAATATCTAAGCTATATGCGGCCCCTCCCAAAACTGAAAACACCAATCACTGTGAACCGTTATTGATTCTCTTATTTCACTATGCTCTTTGCCGTCAGGGTCCGTACCATCATGTCAAATAAATCCAGATAATAATATATTGATGAAATGAATTCGTTTATTGGTTAGATGATTAAAATTTTTATTTAATATCAATAAATTTGAAATGGAGTAGGTTATTAAAAATGTTAATTGATAAATTTTTTTAAAAATAAAAACTTATATGAAGGTTCAAAGTACAAACTATTCAAGATGGCGACACATAACTTGTTCTTTTACTGAATAGATTTTCATTGTAGATGAGCTGCATAAACAGATGTATTACTGTTTTTTTTTTTAAATTTTAGATTTCATCTTTTCTTTGAAATCAATTAGAAAGGTCAGATTATTATCATGGATAAAAACCCAACTGGTGGTGTTATGGCACGTGTTGTTAAAATTCTTGGCCGTACTGGCAGTCAGGGACAATGTACACAAGTACGTGTCGAAATTATTGATACATCATCATCGAAACGATCGATTATTCGTAATGTTAAGGGTCCAGTGTAAGTTTTTTTCTTGTAAATTATTTACTTATGTTCAAAATATAATTTTACTTTTAGACGTGTTGACGATGTACTCGTTCTATTAGAATCTGAACGTGAAGCACGTCGACTTCGATAAAGGTGAAGAAATTGTTTATGCCAAGTTCAATAAAATAATGGCACATTGTTGTTTGTTTTTTTTTTAAATTTTCTATTTATTATTTGATAACATCAGAGAGATATTAGAAAATTAATAAACAAACGTATGAAACAAGATTAATAATTTATTTTCTTATTATGTTTGAGAATAGTTTATATAATGAATCTTTGGTCTTTTACTAGATAATAACAGGGTTATAGAATCCAAGAGTGATGGAACATTTTCATCAGGATCCCGAGAACTTTCATTTTGTCCCAGAAAAATTCAGATCGTATTATTTTTCTAAATTCGAACTTTTAACAGTTTGATTACAGCTTTTAATTTCTCTTTTACTAGGAATGGATGCTCCATTATTGCTCTACTGTAATCATTATGTCGTACAGAATTTTAAGCTTACTATTCGTACACATTTCCTTGAAACGAAAACCTTCGCAAACAAAACGAAGCACTATGTATTATGTAAAAAAAAAGTCATGTGAAAACACAAATTTACCTATGGTGAACTGAGTTTAAGGCGTTAACGGGTGCTTTGTTTTTTACATGATAATTGCCACAGGTTGTATTGAATTAAATTCAGCCATAAATAATTGAAGAAGAAAAATAACTATATATGCTGATGAACGAAATAAATTTTAATAAAATCATGTTATTTTACTTCTTTTCTTCACTCAAAGACCAAAGGCCTCTAAAAAAAAGTAACTTAACGCTTTGTAATTTCACAATCTTACGGTTATTATAGTAAAAACGGATGAGGCTCAATGTCTCACCCAGATTACACATTTCACCACCGATGGAGCAAATTATGAGCTTGGTAGACATTCTTTCAGTCTTATGCATGAATTTTCAAAATGAAAATTATTATCAAAACCAGCAGGATGATATTTTTAAATGGAAACTTTTCCATCCGAAACTTCTTCACTATATAATCATCTTTAATTTGTTATTATTTTATTCAAAATTGTTGTGTATGATTGAGGTTCCTAAATTAATTTTTTCAAAGAGAAAATCGATGTGACTCATGAACTTGAACTTCTTTTTGATAAATGAACCTATGATTGGTCTACATTGATTCTTTCGGAACTTTTGCGAACCGATCGGGTGAAGAACTCTTTATCAGTCAGAGTTTTTGCATTTTTTTCCTCGAAAAATCGATCATAAAAAGCAACTAAAGTTAGCATTGGATTTGAGCATTCCCAGCCCAGATTCGTTTCTTGACCTATGTTGCGTTTCTAATCGGCTATGTTAGATGAAGAATTTTATTCTCTATCGAATGGTAGCACTTTCAATGACGGTCAATTAGCAAAAAGTGTGGATTAGGAGCAAAATACTGAGCTTCTGATCTAGTTTTAGTAGTAATTCTAGCCCGGATCTGTTCCCACCCTGTGGGGCTCTCGATCGGATTATGCTCGATACAGAATTTGATGCTCTGTCGAATAGTATCTCTTTCTATGGAAGTTTTTGAGAGAAAAGCAGGGTTTAGAGGTGAAATACTATGTTTTTGACATAAATATGGTAGTATCTCATTGATTGGACTGGTGCTTTCACAGTAGATAGAATTAGCCAAGTTAAGAAGAAACTGAAAATTTTTACTCAAACAGATGAACTCTTCTCGAGATATAGATCTTGAAAGTACTGGAACTCAGGGAAAATTGGAACTTTTTGTAGTGAAATAATTTTCAATACATTTTCATTTCCTAGTGAACAATAAAATTTGTCACTGAGACTATTCATCATAGATACTATTGAACATGGGCTAATTTCTCACAATAAGAAAAGTCTTTCATCATCAGATATTTTTCGCTTAGTACCATATACTTTTTTAGAAAGCATGTTCATGTGTTTCGAGCAAGTTGATGAATCAGTACAGTAGAATAGTTCCAAGTAGTCTCATTTGAGAAAGCAAATCGAACTGTATCGACTGACATTTTCAAAAAAATTGTGGGATTGAAGTTTTCTACAGAATTTTTTTCGAGAATATATGATTTTTTTATTGGAAATTCCAGTTTGTAAAAAAAATAGTTGTGCTCGATATTTTTCACATTTCATTCTTATAAATCGATGCTTTTGCAGAAGTAATTATATATTCTGATAGCGCCTAAAATTCTCCACAACCCCATATATGTATACAGTGAACTGTACTTACTCGGTAACAAAATTTTTGCACAATAAAAATATTCCAATCTTCAAAATCCTCTCCATCATATTTCCTATTCTCATTTTATACAGTTTTTCAGCTTTATTTTCATTAAAAAATAAAGTATTACAAAAGTAAGTATATATTCTGATACAATGTGAAATTCTCCATCACCCTGCATCTTAGGAACTGAATCATGATAAGAAAAAAAAATATCGAGTTCGGTCAATTTAGTCGGCAACCATCGGCAAAAAGCTTTAAATACTTCAGACAGGATTCGACAGAATGAAAAAAAAAGTTGAACTATTGAATAGTTTTAAATTCAAAACATGAGTATTAAAAAAAATATTCATTAAAGTTTCTCATGAAATATCAATACAGTGAAACGTTTATTTCATATAATTCATAGTCACTAATAATTACAAATTAACAAAGCGAAAATAAAAACAAAAACTTAATATTGGATGCATATAAGGTACTCTTCACACGTCACCTCACCACTATTTCTTGATTTAATCACTCAAATAATCATAAAAACATTAACAAGATGAACAGTTTACCATGTGAAATGAAAAAGATTTGAAACACTTGTTCGATCTTGCTGTGACCAATAACACTATTTAGATTATCTGATAAATTACATGTACAAGTAGATAGAGTCAGTATGGATAGTCCTTTTACTCCCTTACTGACAATATATTTATGAAACATATCGAACAGAAATTGAAAAAATTTGAAGCCAATAAAAAAATAAAATTTTATCGAAGAAACGTTGCTAATATGTTTATTTTGCTTAAATGAAAAATAATATGACATTGAAAAGTTATGAGATAACGGCAACTCACTACATCCGAATCTCAAATTTACGAATGAAATAAGAAAATATTCTGAATTATCATTTTTAGATGTTAAAGTCATAGAACGATGTAGGAAATTTCAAATAGTACTTCAGAGAAAGAAAACACATTCATGTCAAATATTAAACTGGTCCAGCTGAGAAGTAAAGAAATATAAAAAAAGATTCTATGAAAACTATAACATTTTGTGCATCGAGCATGTGATCATCAAAAACTTTATTAACAGAACAATGCAGGTTAATTGCAAAAACTCTAGTCGAAAATGGGTAACCCATTAATTTAGTAACAAGAAAAATAGATAATGAAATACAACAATCTAATCAACATATTTGACTAAAACCATTGAAGAACACTTTCTTCGTACCATCTACATTTATGGGACAGAAACATTTATTATAACAAATAGAAATCAAATCTATTTTAGAAAAAAACTGGTCGCATAATAAAAGTAATTTTTGGATTTAGAAAGGTTTAACTATTGAAAAGTTATTTAAGAAAAATTATAAAGGTGTCGACCCCATGAATATTCATGTAATTAATCAACTGTCTTGTTGAAAAGTCTATATTGGACAAACATACACTTAAACATGAAAATAATGTATGAGACAACATCATGAAATTCAAAAAGATCCTGGTAAATTTAGTGCAGCTAATCATGTATGAAACAATACCAAGCCTGTAGGTAATTTTAACACACTAAAATAAAATGTGTCGCACTTTGAGACACAATCTGCAACACATGCAAGTACGACACGAGGTGCTCGCTGCGACACATTTTGAAAACATGGTTCGAACCTACTACACAGTGAATTTTGAATTTTTTTCTTGAAAGCAAATTATTGTATATTTTTCGATTCAATTCCATTTTATAATTTCTATTCAGGCAATTAAGCAGGTCAGACCTTGGGATCTATCCAGTCTCGAGCTGATTCAAACTCTATTAGACCACTTCAGAGCGGTCCTTTCTCGATCACGATCGGCATACTCTCAACAAATAAATAGTTGAGAAATGATCTAAAAAACAAACTTAGTATGAAAATATCTAAGTTTCGTATGTTCAGCGCGTCATCGATATATGGGCAAAATCATCTGTTAGCGACGTGACTTCATAAAATTGCAACGTGTATATCTTGGGATAATGAACGTCCCAAGAGCTAATTTCTATATGCTATATGTAAGGTAAGTTACTCTAGATACTCTGAAAAAATCAGCCCTAGTGGCCTTTGTTGAGAGGAGTTATTACTACAAAACTAGCGTTAGCGACGTGACACAAAAATGGACATCAACTTCCACTTCATGCATTTTAATTTAAAAAAACTTCGAACTAGCATAACACTTTTGAAAACTAAATGGTACATTCAGTAGACCAGAGATGGAACCGGTCTAGACCGGTTCGCCGATCGAAACCGATTTACCAAAAAAAGTTGATCTGACCGGTCTACCGGGCAAAACTAGCCTACCGCTACCAAATAGGATGCTGATGATACGTCAGTTTATAAAAGAAAAACGGACCTACCGACAAAATATCGATCTATAGACAACAGGCTAAGGCTTGAAATGAAGCCTTGTTTCATAGTGAACTCTCTTGAGGGCTACCTTCGTACTTTCACGCATATTGACATAATATTTTCCCGTTGATAACAATAGTCTCACTGATAGGTATTTTGAAAATTTTTTTAAAAATAAATTCCTATGTGATTAGTGGAACTAGTCTTGGTGCCAGTTATTTTTTCATATGATTACCATCATAGAGCGGGAAAGTGAAAAATATAGACCGATTTGGACCGGTCAGACCGGTTTAAACCGGTAGACCTGTCAATCCAAAGTCCAGACCGGTACCGGTTCCATCTCTGCTGTAGACAACTCATAGGGGTGTAAAATCCCTACCCGAAGATTTTATGGAGTACGCATACATTTTCCAAAAAATTCTATTTACTTTTCATTAGGGACGTGACTGAGTACGAATATGCAAACGAAAAAATGCTCTT